ACGAGCGAACGCTATAATCACTAGGCTACCCCACCGCCCTTCCAGTGTCAGACAGACAAGCGACGAGACCCCCATGTCTGTGAGGTGTAACTCATTCGCTATTATAGAAAACACCAATAATAATGCAACGTCCCTTGTTAATAGGTCATGGGAAACTAAGAATATGCAAATCTCCCGGTTGTTGATTATTGTTTTCATTTTAAATAGATGTCTATGTTCTCAGCATTTTGGGGACACAGTTGGAGATTCTCTTGTACACGGTCATTTTACGAATGCTTCTAAGAATTGCAACTTCAACGCTACATGGTTGTCACAGTCAAACTCGGGTTGAAACTTCTTTGAAACGACTGTACACAACATGCGTTACCGTAATCGTTTGCCACGTGTTTAGCTGTTGTTGTTGTTGTTGTTGTTGTTGTTGTTGTTGTTGTTTTCGTTTTGGTTTAACTAATTTTTAAAGTTGTTTGATTCGATTGATTCTGTTGAGTTTTTTTGTTCAGGTTGTTTCCCAGTTCGTTGTTTATAGTTTTTTTTATGGGCCTTAGATATGTTTAAAGGTTTGGTTAGTCTGGTTTTTTTCGTTATTTGTTTGTTTGGTTGTTTTTGTCATTTGTTTGATATATAGAGAATCTCACCCGAGTGTCTTTTGATATCAAATATAGCACCACGAGTTGATAAAGTAACAAATATCCGAGGCTTGCCAATTCATTAGTTTTCAATGAAAAATGTACATCTCTGAACACAGAACTGCCATTAGATTTGCAGTGCAGCGATGTCACAGCATTGTGACATCATCAAGTTTATGACGTCATAGCATTGTCAGGGCATTGTGCAGAATCTACTGTCTGATCTCACACAAGCGATATCTCCTGTGGAACACAGTTTTGGATGATAACTTTCTATTTTATTTATTTCAATTCATTTTTCTGTTTCAGAGATTGAGAGGGTTGGGCTAACGGTTGGATTTAAGCATACTGAAAGTACAAATGTAGGAATTTTGATCTCTATCAGAAAAAATCTTCAGTGTCTTTAAGTTAGTAACTATTGGGGATTATCATGAGGTAATTCAATAGTAAATATATCCCTTTTGAATGTGCGTATGTTCATGCCCAGTTGGCCGTCCATTACCCATCTAAATACACTCTCTGTACTCGAGGGGCGGTGGGGTAGCCTAGTGGTTATAGTGTTCGCTCGTCACGCCGAAGACCGGGGTTCGATTCCCCACATGGGTACAATGTGTGAAGCCCATGTCTGGTGTCCCCTGTCGCGATATTGCTGGAATATTGCTAAAAGCGGCGTAAAACCATACTCATTCACTCTGTACTCAGAAAGCCACGTGAAGTTGTATAAAGGTACATGCCACTTTAGATACTTGCTACAAACTTCCATTATAATTATAGATTAATCTCAAACCGCAAACTAGCGATAAAATGAAAAATGATGTTATTAATAGTTCAAATAGAGGCCACCTTTCATTGCCCAGTGCCCGCCAATAAATTGTAAATAGTACCACGTGTGGAACTGTCTCGGTGTAATAGGAGTAATCGGTATCTGTTTTTAAATTCCAAACATACGACATTCTTGACCAGGATACCAGGAGTCTCATCTATCTTGTACATTACAAACTGTTGATACAGATTGTTTTAGTCTTTTTGTTTCCTTTTGTTTAAACATCTCTTTACATAATATAGAAGGCAACTACAAAGGCAAACACATTTAGTCAACTCACGCTCTGAGTATTCGCATACACAGTGATGTGAAACGTTACAACAAAATTACTTTTTTATTTAATGTTTCAATTTAATGTTATAACACATTTTGAACAATCCCGGTTTTCATTTAGGTCATATGAGAGGCATTATATGTGTGAAATATGTGTGTGAAGTGTGCTATAACCGACGACTTTGGTTAGTTATAAAGACCCGCTAAAGCCATGCGTGTATAGGGATTTGGCAGTACATGCGGTGCCGTGATGTTGCTGAAATGTTGCTAAAAGCAGCGTAAAACTCAATCTGTCCTTTCGCGAAATCCATTAATGACAACGCAACTTCGCGTTTCATATAAGGTATTTTATGCACGCTTCAACAGTACAGTTTCGTCTCTCGAGAAATGTCATTTTTAGACTGAATATCAGAATGTGTGAACAAAAAGGGATCTGTATGTTTTCTCAAGCTGTTTTTGTTCTGTGATTCCTGTCTCCTGTATTTTCATTCCGAAATGAAGTAATAAAAACGTTTCTTGTCTCATTTCTTCCCATATGTGATAAAAAATAATCTTACCTGTGCACAAAAAACAGGTTCCTTGATCCCTCGTCATCTTATATTTATGAAAAATTGTCGCAAAAGCAAAACGACCCAATGAATCTATTTTTTAAATATTTCCATAGTATCTAAAGTTAAATATTTTATTAAAAAAAATAATGATATTTATTTATCGCCCGCCCGCTGACTTGTTTTTGAGGTTGGAGATGAGAAACCTTATATAATCAGTTAAATGGGGGCACATCAGGAATGGTGAATAAGGTAGTCAGTCATACACTGAAAACAACATTGCATTTTACGAGAGCTGATTGTCTCAATGCATTAACACCATCGGATCAGATACTTTGTAGCCACTAATGTGTTTTACAGATTAAAGATAATATGCAGCAGAGAGGGTTCGGGTGATCCTGGCACAGTCAGGCTGGTAAGGCTCTTCATCAGCTCAGGGCCCTTGCCCCCTCTACACGTAGCCCAGACAGCAAATGGGACTTCTCCCAGGAAACGCTGCCTAGTCGAACCCACCAAGAACTTTCCGGAGAATATGTAGACTCCCCAACACTGCAGCCTTCTGCATTACTCAGAGTGTCAGAAGGGCTGTGCTCCCGGTGGAGAACCCGGGCACTCTCTTGATCTGCGCCAATTTTCCATGACGCCCTGGACATGTTCAGGATCGTACCATGGATGGACCTCGGAGTCAATGCCACAGGCATGGCGAAGACGATAGTAAAAGCAACCAGCCATGCCATCATGTCTTTTAAGATATGCTGTTTGTGCCAAAGAAGGGCATCCACTGACAAGGTGTTGGACAGTCTCTGTAAATTCATTGCAAAGTCGACATTTCATAATGGTATTTCTTTTAAAATCACACTTATACGATTGCGAGTGGGAAGTGACTGGTCTTGAGCAGCAAAAAGGAAGCCCTCCGTTTCACATTTAAGACCAGGCGAAGGAGTCGGTTGGATTGCTATTCTGTTCACTGCATGTACACTAATGTGTCATTATTATCAGTAGTAGTAGTAGCAGTAGTAGTAGTAGTTGTTGTTGTCGTTGTTGTTGTTGTAGTAGTAGTAGTTGTTGTTGTTGTTGTAGTAGTAGTAGTAGTTGTTGTTGTTGTAGTAGTAGAAGAAGGAGGAGAAGAAGTGGAAGGTGTCCACATTCATGGTAAGGGGCAACATTGACAGAAGCGGTGTAAAATGTCAAATCATGAATTCCCTCCCCCTTTACCAGTCATACTCTGTCAACAGATCGTTTTCCCCGTGTGTTGGACTAATGTTTAGTCTCTGAATACATTTAATTTTCATAGCAACGAATAATCTCATTTAAATTGAAAACGAGCCCCAGTGAGATGGGAGCTTCAGAACCTGAGGAAATCTAGACTTGCTCCATTTAAAGCTTAAGCATTTCAGGGAGGGCGGGGCAGTGGAGAAAATAATGTGGTTCAGGGACTGTGAGACAGACTATAGTAGTAGTATTAGTGAGTGAGTGAGTGGGTTGGGTTTTAATTTTAGTGGTGTCGACTTTAATGGCAAGGGGCAACAGTGTGAGAAGAGGTATGAAATTCAAATATTAAATATTGAATTTTACCACATCGTTTTCCCTGTGTGTCAAAAGAACCCAATTACTTTGTTAGTGAGTCAGGTGTTCGGGCCTGATAAGCGAACGCTTAAAACGTAAGGCTATACAACACGACCCCAAGTTATCTTGAATATATCCCGTTTCATTTTTATGAGGATATTTCGTCAATCTTGACATACTAAAGTGAATCGTTCCCTTAAAACAGTTAACATACTTTGCTATTAGAATTTGAAAGTCCATAAATTTCTAATTCTCTGCATAAAAACTCCCAAAGAAATCAATATTTGAAAACAAGAGTAGATTTTGACTAAGGCTACGTATCAATAAGAACAGAATTGGCGTTATTTATTTACTGATATATTTATTTCAACTTATAACATGGAAGGTAACAACAATTTCTACTATGAAAATAAACAATTAAAATTTTTATGCATGATCTCGATATCCAGCAAGACACATAGTGGTCCTCATTTCCCTGTCTAATCAGCTGAGTGACCGTTTGACTGTTCACGCCTTGCTTGCAGTCTATACCTTAGGTCTTGAGGCCAGCGGTCAGCAAGTACTGTCTCTCATGGTGACTGGCACAACGCGTCACTGTTATCTTTGATCACTATACTGTATACAGTTTTTGCCTCTGCACCAAATATACTACATCTCAGTAATGAATTCACATATTATGAAAGCCATATCCAGTGTCCACATCCACAACACAATTTAATCCACATTCTCGTCATAAAGCATACCCACATCCATGGGTCATACCCACATCCACATGGCATTGGTCACGCCCACATACACATCAATGTGCCACGTCCATACCCATGTGCCACACCCACATCCATGTACAAATCGTTGATACGCATCCACATCCTCTGCCACGCCCACATACACATCCATATCAAGATCGTTGGGACACATCCACATCCATGTGCCACTCTCACATCTATGTACAAGTCGTTGATACACATCCAAATCCACGTGCCACACCCACATACAGATCCATATCCAGATTGTTGGGACACATCCACATCCATGTGCCACATTCATGTGCCACACCCACATACACATCCATATCCAGATCGCTGGGACACATCTACATCCATGTGCCACATTCATGTGCCACACCCACATACACATCCATATCCAGATCGCTGGGACACATCTACATCCATGTGCCACGCCCACATCAAAATGAACACAACATCCACGGTCCATATCCATGTGCACACAAACACAATACCCCACATCTCAGTAACAACCACACCTCATCCACACTGTTCCTGGCACACCCACATCCTGGACACTTAATCTGTGTAGTCTCGCGATCTCCCGGCACGGACGAGACTCTTGCGAGATCTCTGTACTCTCCTCCGGGTGGCCGGCATGGCGGGGACGTCAATCTCCTCGTCGGAGAACATCGTGGCGGCGTCACCCCTCCCCCACGAGCCGTACACGTAGGTCTCAAGGTCAGGGTAACTGGTGTCGCTCTCTTCATCAGACACGTCATCATCATCACCATCATCACCATCAGAGTATTCACTGTCTTCATCACGAACATCATCATGGTTGACCTGATCATCATCTTCGTGGTCGACGCCATTATTCTCCAGCACGTGATCCTCCTCGACATCGTCCTCGTTCTGGAAGAGCCGCCTGGTGATAGACCTGCCATACTTCCTCCAGGCCAGATAGGAGACGCCCCCGACAGCAGCAGCACCGGCACACACCAACATCTTCTGTACCAAGCCATCTTTCAGCTCTGGAAGTAACGAATTTCTGGGATATTCCACACTGCAGTTTTTGAATGGTACCAGAACCAGAGTACTTGTTTGAGTATTTCAGCTTTCTGGTTTCTATACATACGCCAACACCTTCTGTACCAAAACAACTTTCAAATCTGGATGTAATGAATTTCAAGTTTATTCTAGGTCGCAGCCTTTGTTTCTTAATGCGACAATGCAATTGATAATTCTTTGTAATTTCTATTTTCAAGTATTGTATGGATACATGTACACTCGTTCGTGAAAATAAAATACATCACCTCCTTTTACGTGTCTTGCCAATTCCACGAATGCTGTAGAAATATCCACTGTCGAACTGAAAAACAGAACAACCGATTATTTATATGAAACAGATCGGTAGAATTGGCAGTTTAATTAGGAACGCTTGTGTCGATGGGTTAGGTTCCATAACACGAACACAGTCGGTTAATCCATACCGTCTCACAGGTGACGATTTCTTAGCACAGAATGAGTCAGACACCTCAACTGGGTGTGCAGCATCTCTCCTGCAGTAAAATGCAGTCGGACTTTATATTATATAGAAATCACCCATTTTCATCGTTCTGAGATATAATTTCTACAAGATCGAAACTATACTGCATTTGACCATGTATTAAACTTTTATTTATTTGTTTCCACATTTGTTCAATTCTTATGCATGAGGGCCTCATTCACTATGCAAGCTGAGCGACTATACGTTAAGACAGAGTATAAGATCGCTTTGAGAAACGGGGCCCTGGTGTTCGGGCATCTGATACAACATATAAGGTTGGTGGGTTGGTTGGTTGTTTTACGCCGCACTCAGCAATAATCCAGCTATTTGGCAACGGTCTGTAAATAATCGAGCCTGGGCCAGATAGTCCTGTGATCAACAGCATGAGCATAGATCAACGATGGGATACGATGTACGACATAAGGAGTGAGTTTTAGAACTATTACAGTTCTATTGCAGCACCTGAAGTGGTGCAGGTCTTAGACGTTTAATACTTTGGTGAAACTGATGAGCACGGCTGTGTTGCTGACAAACCAAACTACATAATCAGGGCGAACAGGGACTCAAACCCGCAATCATGGGTTTCTTGTGTGACAAAGGGGACGCAACTCTGAACAACGAATCTCGGCGTCTTAGACGACTGGCCGACTTTAAAGGGTAAATGGATTCAGTAAATGTCATCTTTGGCGAGTGGTCAATGAGTTAGTTAACTAAGTTGAGCTACTGGCTCGTCATATTTGTTTTATACCATGTGTTTCTTATTTTTTTTAAAGTTCAGATGCATAAACTCCTGAATATCTGACTTGAAGTAAATGTTAGAAATGATCTAAACTATCAATAAAGTCTGATCAGGGGCCCGTTATCAGAAAGGAAATTTGATCTCCTTTTCAACCTGACATTCATTAGTATCGTAGAATATTCGTTGACTTCATGCACTTGATGCTACTTCGTGTGAAAATATAGGATGTAGGTGCAATAAAAAATACATTTTGATTACACTCATAAGAATACAACCGCTAGACCATACCTTGAACCGATGGACAAGTGGACAGAGCGACTATCAACCTCCATGATGGTCTTTATGTCCGCTCCTGAACGGCAGAACTTCAGAAAGGTCGCGGATCCGGCCGCGGCTGCGGTGGTGAGACGAGGAAGCCAACCCATCTTTGTGACTTTATCCAAGAGGAATGACTGTCCGAGGTGATTGTTGTTACGTCATTGTCACGTGACCTGACTATGACGTCAACGAGATTATGACGTCATCATCAATGCGACACTTGGGTACCCGTGATATTCACAGATTTTTCAAAGATACCAGTGACTTGTTATCAGGGCTATACTTATAACATTTGGCATTTGCCAAATTGTAACCAAAATATGCTTTTGAGACCAGTCAGTAAAGAAGGTTTTACGCCACTTTTAGCAATATTCCAACAATAATCAAGGGCTTCATGTGGGGAATCGAACCCGGCTCTTCTGCATGACGAGCGAATGCTTTCACCACCAGGCTACCCTACCGCCCCGAAGCACAACAATACATTGTTGTCCAGTTAAAAATCGTAAATATTTTTGACGCATGTGAAGTCCCGTGTTCCATGTGAGAAACCTACAGAATTAAAATGTGTGTTTGTTTGAAGAAATACTTCTACCTGAATGCCATTTGGTGCAACATATATATGTATGTGTTTCACTGTTCCGTGCTCGTTTCAATGAGAATAGATTTCACTCAGTGCTGGTCGATCTGACCCATGGGATTGGGTTGAGCTGAATGCCACAGATTGTCTCGTTGGGGGACATTAATGCATCGAATGACATAAAATCAATGTTCACAACAAAGGAGTAAATTACGGACACAGTGAATAAGAGACACTATATACAACAGTTACAGTTAGAAACAGCAAGAAAATCCACTCGCTCAATGGCTTACAGAATGCCACGTTAACCTTAAATCGCTCAAAAAGAACACATTAGATAATATACTCTAGCAAAAAAGAAACGCATGGGTGTATTTTCACGAATTTAATCAGGTAACTTTAAAGTGAGATAACACATGTAATTACGGAGCAGTTGCAGCCAAATGTCACAGTGTATAAGATCGAATGTCTGTTATCATCTATAGCTTATAAAAAAATCAATAAGCTTTAATCTTTGAAGGCGATCCGTTTTACATTTTGCGTTTGGTGTTTACGTATTGCGTTAAAGACATTTTTACATTTTGTGTTAATTTTTTACATATTGCGTTAGGTTTTACATATTGTCTTGATTTTACTTATTGGGGTTGTACAACAATTACTCTTTACTCCTCTGATCTAATTGCAGGCATTAGTGCACACTAATTGGAACAGTCCACTTGTGTGCGGGTAAGCGTATCGCTGTCACAACAAACTTTGTAGTTATTTTTCCCTGTAGGCATTTGTAGACCTAATCTAGGATAGCTCGTCACATGACACTCACCACAATATCGGTCAACCTGGGCAACAGAGATTTGGGCAAAACGTTCATTTCGACGTCGATAGACACGTACTCTTCCGTCGCTGGACTGAAGCAGAAAGCGTGATTCGTCACGGAACCATAAACGTCGCCAGTTTTGTAGGTTCCAGAATTTTCACCACTGAACCCGTCGACGACCAAAATAGGGTTTTCTGGCTCGAAGTCCAGCTTTTCGTAAACGAATGTGGATGTCTTGCTGACGTGAGGTCACGCGTGGACGGCCGGTCCGAGAAAAATCTCTTGTGTTCCCATTATGTTGAAAACCTCTCCATAGAAATGAGATCGTGTTTCGATGGACACCAAAATGTCTGGCTACTTCATTTTGGGCCATTCCAACATACCCATGGCACGGAGTCACGGCAATGAAGCAGAAAGTGTGATTCGTCACTGAACCATACACGTCGCCAGTTTTGTAGATTCCAGAATCGAACGTTACTGCATCACTGGGCATGCCGACGTCGATGTAGTCGTCCGGCAGCGGCCGGGCCAAAATATGGTCTTCTATCTCGAAGTCCAGCTTCTCGTAAACGATTGCGAATGGTTTGCGTGGACACTCTCTTCAAACCAGGCTGTGCAGTTGCAGTTGCCGTGACAGTTCGATTCCGCAAATGAAGTACCCAGCTGCAGATGTACCTATCCTGCGCTGCAGTGGTAATCCGAGGCCTACCACTTCGAGGTCGATCTTGCGTAGAATTGGTTTGTTGAGATCGGTCACATAAACGACTGATGGTGTTCTGGTGAACTTTGAGGTGACCTCCAACGGCAGATTGGGACTCCCCAGCCTCCAGGCGCCCAATGACAACCTTTCGATTTACAGCAGTGAGTCGCAGCATAACGATATTCTTTCATTTAGCAAAAAATGCCAATGGTCGTCTAAAAGCAAAACGGCTTTGTATGCAATATCCTAAGCTGGTTCCCGGCTCCCTTTGCGCGCGCTAACTTTCGATATGCGAGACGGGGCCCAGCTTAGCAATATCCCTGCTCACAATTCCCCAGAACTGCACGTGCACATTGCGAACCACTTTTTCTCCGTGATATTATCATGGAAGTTGACACTATCGAACGTGCATTAAAGTTTCGAAAGATGCGTTTTTCGCTCCATGTACACGAACCAGTATTGTAATGGTAAATTAAACAACGGATGTGATCAAACACCAAGTTTGAAAAATATTTGAAATTTCAGATATAAATATCGCCTTGCGTTTCTTTTTTTGGGAGAGTATATTGCTGAGTTTTTACAGTACACTGCGAGGCTTGATTAGAGAACATTGTGCAAAACTGAACTTGATAAAAAACTATTTCCTCTCATGAAAATGTTGGTCCCCCTGTTGCATCTTATTGACTATGTTTCTGTCCCCGGCAGTCATTCCAATGTTTTGGGGGTAAATGATCTGCCAATAACGAAGGAAACTGATATCTATATCTATCTTTAAGATATCTATAAAAAAGTCAGCCATTTCAGTTTCAGTAAATATAATGTTACTATATAATGTTAGCAGATAAAATAAATGTTAAAAGTTTGATTTATAAACACCTGTACCTAGGTTTGCACTGTGTAATCACTACTTTTGTTCGTTTGTTGTTCAAAGCCATACTCAGCAATATTCCAGCTATCTGGCGGCGGTCAGTAAATCTTCGACTCTTGGCCAGATCCAGTGATCAACAAATTGAGATACGATGACATGTGTCATCCGAGTCAGCGAGCCTGTCCACCCGATTCTTTTAGTCGCCTCTTACAAGCATGGATTGCTTAAGACCAATTCTAACCCGGATCTTCATGTTTGGTAATCATTGTGAAACCACTTTCCATTATACAACCAAATATTTTGATTTCTTCTACCAGTTGTTATGTATTTGTATTATAGTTATACCAGTAATTGTGCAACTTACTGGTAACTATGTTTTAAACGATACAAATGGTTAAACCGCATTGGTGGATTTAACGCTGCTTTGAGCTGTTTTTCATTCAAATCATGGCGTATCAGCTTAACGTTGAAGGAAAGCCTGGAGTGATGCAGGTAATACGTGTCACCGACTCTAGTGAAACCCGTTAGCACATGTGTATGCTGGTGCTGATCAGGGCAAAGGTGTTCGAACCACCGATTCTGACCGGGGCTGACGTCAGCGTCGTCAACAGCATCGTCAACAGGGGCACCCGTGTACCCACTGTAAGCTACAGTAACGTCATGGAACTGTACGGAAGATTGACTTAATCTACCTGACAGTCCCTGAACCACATCGTTTGTATGAGAACTACATCTATTCAGAGACTAAGCGTCAGTCTACACCCACGTGTAAACCGGTGGATTTGGCCTTCATAGCAACGAATGTTTGCCGTAGGAGCCAAATTTTGGAAACATATGATTGTTCAGTCAAATGCCACAAGCGCAAAGGACATACATTTCACAAGATATAGTTCTTGAGATTCAAACACGTTTCTACGTTGTAATACATATATGAGTACAATATGATGCGAGCGAGATAATACCTTTGACAAAAATAAAGGGTAAGGTTTCAACAAAACTTTACTTGAGCATATGGACTGGGTTCTTGTGGGAACTTAAATGAAAATGTTTCATTTGCTGTAAACGAATACGATTCAATATAAATTTTAAATACAAAATGAAGAAATTTACTGTAATGTACATTGAATATAATGATTCAATTACTTGTGTCAAGTAAATGTATGAATGATTCATGAGATGTGGTCCAATGTATGTGATATCATTGAATATATTGTTCATATATTTGGTATGTATTTCAACATGTGGTATGACATGGTAAAGCAGAACAGGCTATGCCCCATATTATTTTGCTTCGGGATTAACGCACCTCTCTGGCTGCTTAATAGCTGGGTAATAGGAGCCAGGTAGGTGAGGGGAATCCCTTGTAAACTCACTGCTGGCTAAGCCGCCACTACTCAATTGCAATTGCTAATTCCCCCCGACACTAATTACATTGTTAATCCCTAATTCCAAAAGAGTTGACATTGACCACAAATTCCCAATTGAAATATACCATTGGTAATACATTATAAGAAACAACGTTAAGTTGTCAGATATGTAACTCTCCCGTAATAGACACAAACCTCCCTATCTAATTCAACGTGATTAGTTTTCGTTCTTAAGATGACGATATATTTTCTAACATTACTATGTTTCATATTTGCATAAATTAGATAATCTCCCTAACACTAAACACGTTAGTCTCTTGTGTACCATAGAACACTTTAACACCAGACTATAAAGCATCGTACGTGTTGGATTTGAACACATCTGCTTGCAACTCAGGCCACCACTCTCCTACCCAGAGTTCCATGCGGCAAGCCAGCATTGTACCTCTGCCACATGCCAGAAAAATGTGACGATTCGTCACATCTTGCACCGTCCATTCAATATAATGTACATATTTCTTTTACTCTTTTATTTTTGACGAGTCTACACATCTAACTAAACATCTTTAATAGAATGAATTAGTTTCACTGAGAAAATATCCAAAAACATGTAACACTATTTCGATTTGCGTAGCGATCCTTTGTTTACATAGGTTGTACGGCTCCACGTGCTGTCATCGAAGCCGACAGAGAGCAAACGATACAGCCAGTTTGATATCTAAATATGTACTGTCATAGACCTAACGGTATGAAGAGAGCGCCGAAAAAGCTTTCGTGAGTCCAGTCTCTTCTTATTATGAATATGCGCGTTTGATTACAAACAAGAGAAAAGTCCGGTCGCGTGATATGCAAATTAGCCTGTGGCAGTGATGTTATGTTAAGTCATCGCTGTGGCGGAATGTGTCAGGCCACAAGTAACTCTGTCGCCGCGAATCGATGTGCGGAGTTACGTCCCTTGGACAAACCAGATTTTGATTTGAAATCCTAGGTTCGCCATAGCTCACTTGGTTTGTCAACACCATTGTGACGTGTTCATTTGTTCACAACATAAGGCATAAACAGATATGGCTATAACCATTGATTAGACAATAGACTAACATCTAGTCTCTGAAATGAACATATTTTACCGAAAGAAACGGTTCCTAAATAATAATGATAAAATATTATGAAAAGGAACCAGAGACTTTCTTCATTTTCAGAAACTGTGGTATTCTAGACTTACCACATATTCTAGACTTGCATGGGCTTTCTCGGATATAATTGTTTCGGGGTCTGTATGACAGACTGATTAAACAGTTCAGTTATGTCAAATCATCGCCCCCTACACAATAAAAAGTACAATAGAGAGACCACATACATACAATGAGTAAACCTGATACAAAACAATTGATGTAATTTTATTTCAAAATTCATGGATCTTTTCAGCTTCAAATATCTACACGTTGGAAATTGCACAAGCCATGTGTATTCATTAGACTGTCGGGGTGTAGGGTATGGATGTGGTCGTATCACTGTCATGATGGACATACTTACATTCAACATCACAATCACGCCGGAGACTGTTGAGAACAGAATCGCATATCGCATATCGTAGCCACATGGGGACTCGAACACGGATTATTGACGTGATGTAATATAGGAGGTAGCCCACTGAGCACATGATGATCCCTCGCGCACCTGTTTTGCTGGCCAAAGTCAGCAGGCAAACCCCACTGCCTCTACTACCCCCGCCCACCTATGACCGTTCTAATATATAGAGGGTTGTCGCTGTTTACAATTATAGAATAGTAGTAAGGTTGTCACGAGTGCATTATTCCCCAGAGGGTGTAAAATGCAACAATTAAGAGATTTATATGTAACTCTAGAAAACTTATTATACAATATTACTGTTTGGTATCAAAACAAACAAATTATGTCTCAAATAAGTATAACATCGGGTTTTCTGGATAAGGAGTAGTCTTTGCTATGTGTATTTTTGTTGTTGTTATTTTGTTTTCGCTTTCTATTATTTAAAATGGAACATTGAATACTGAAAGACTTTAAATTTCCTTTTTTTTCCCATTTTATGATACAAGAGAGAAAAAATCGAAACATTAAATATGACATTAAAACTTCAATATTGCTGTATCAAAATGGAATGGCTGGTCACTGAGATACATATAAAATGTTACCCCATCCCCAAAAGTCAGACTTGGAAGATATATTTTGAACAATATTATTATATGTGCTTGTTATCATTTAGATTAAAGCATTTTTTGTAATATCACATCAAATAATCTACGACAAGAAAATAACAAACATCCAATAATTGATGACATATCTGTAAGAACATTAATCTATGAAACGCCAGTTCAAACAGCCCTAACCCAAACATACATTTCCGTGTTATATAAGTTATCGTTGAATGGTTGGTTACAACTTGAATAAGATTACATGAACGTGTGCTAAAAGAATGTTGCATAAGTTTGCATGGAGGTCAACATTCCCTGTGGCCACACAATTATTCGTGGGGAAGGAGATTCTAACGTCTTGAAATCACACCATGTAGAGAGTCGAGGTTGGGACAATATTCACTCAGACAATCAGGTTTTGTAGTTTCCAGTTCATATCGATTTCATTATATTTTAATCATTTCGTTCTAACATACAAGATAGATTCGTTCATGGTATGGAACATTGATGTTTTCTGTTCTAGATAATATATGTGGCTTAATATAATTATATATACATGTATTACTGTCTGTTGTGTTAATAATATACAGTGACTCATTTTTCCCTTTAAATCCAGTAATACAGTAAAATATACTCATGTCAATAATGGTTGTCACCCCTTTCAATTTTTTTAATTGGAGAGGGGGTGTGAGGTGTGTGTGGGGTTGTGGTGGGGAGGGGGTGACAACCTTTATTGGCATGAGTATATATACCCGCCGACCATACAACGCCATGGCATGTTGTTCCAGGAATGGGTTAGGTCATATTGTCTCTGGTTAGGTTGCATAACACAAATTAAAATTTTTGTGGGGCACATTTTTCTCTTTATACAGTGCAGGATGGTAGTGCTTCATTTGATGTTTTCTTTTCAAACGAATACTAATTATTTGCTACCCGTGGAACCCCGTGGCATATAGACAGCTAGTGTTTGGCTAAATAAATTAACTCATTAGCCATGTATTCCTTCTAGTTGGCATCGTGAAAAATCCGAAAACTTGCTCCTGGTAAAGTGCAGTCCCCAACTTCGTTTCCGTTCAAAATGGTATCCAGGTTATAACGGGTAGTGCCGGGTAAAAAGGATTTGGCATAAGAGGCAGTTCGACTGTAAACTTGTATTTCAGAGTTATTTCTTAAACTATATCTTGTAGTTTCGGAGAAGGATGTAAATCTGAGTAGGTAAATTAATTTCTCTTTCAAATGATCACGAAGTTACCTACACAAAGTGTATGTTAATCAATTTATCTTATAAAGTTTCATTAAGACTTCCACAAGATTCAGTTACATAGCAAATCAGTAATTAGCTAGGGTGAATCCATTCTATCAGAGAGGGGAGTATGGTGTGTTTTCTTTGTTAATTACCTACTCCACTGTCTCATAACTGGGAATCTCTGAATTGGGAGTTCTCACAAATGGGAGTAGACCCCCTTGTTAATCTGTTTGTGTATTATAAAGAATACCCTTCACAGTGTATACTATATAGACAGACTGTGACACTTACAATACCTACAACCCGTGATGGTCCGGGTTAGAATTGGTCTTCAGCAACTCATGCTTGTCGTACGTAAGAGGCGACTAACGGGATCGGGTAGTCAGGCTCGCTGACTTTGTTAATGCATGTCATCGTATCCTAAATGCGTAGATCGATGCTCATGCTGTTGATCACTAGATTGTCTGGTCTAGACTCGATTATTTACAGACCGCCACCATATTTGAAATATTGCCGAGTGTGGCGTAAAGAAACAAAGAAAGATCTATGTATATCATCTACAGTCGCTGTGAGCAGATATGGTCTGTCTTGCAGTCTCTAATCCACATTATTTTCCATTCCCCCCAGCCCATTCTGCAGTGCTAAAGCCCTCTAGATTTCCTCAGGTGCTGGATCTCCCATTCAATGCGGCTCATTTCAATTTAAAAGGAATTATTTAATTGTTCTATCAAAATTATATATATTAACAGACTTACAGTTAGTCTATGAGCAATCAAGCCGAATTCAGCAATATACTGAATAACAGATAAGTACAATTTGAGAGTTGACATTAATACACCTCATCCACACAAAAACAGGCCCCACGTGCAACGAAAACGTCACTGGCATGTTATGACAACTGTCCTTCATTGACAATGTGTTCAACAGAGCGAGACAGCATAGAAAATGTCGGTAGGAAATTATTATAAACATTTGCGTGCGCAGGCGCCCTCTTTCGGCTGTGGTTGACAACAAGCAACATGTCTGACGGTAGCTCCGATTGTGAAGGGGTTTATACCGAAACCTGGGTCCCTTACAAGGACCGCCAGGAATGGAAAGACATACAGCCTGTCCCCCAGGACGACGGGCCACACCCAGTGGTCCAGATCGCCTACTCGGAAAAATGTGAGTAGTCAATGTCACCATGCTTACCCCGGTCGAAGAGACGGCCATGCCTCTTTTCTATATTTGGCGCGAAGAGTTATCGGAATTTAGATCGAAATATTTTTAGTATTAGCGGAAAATGTGCCTTGGCACTCGTCTGAGAGTACTGGATTTGTTTTGAATTGATTGCTGTACGATTATTGTTTTCTAACGTTGTTAGGCTGGGGTGTAGCGACGTTCGTTGTTTATGTTTACATCCTTGCCCTAGTATTGTCATTCACAATAATGATATGCAGATTTCATGTTTGGCGGCCCTCGCGAGCGTAAATGTCTCTCCTTATGATATAACCATGCACGTCCAAACTTTTCCCGTCATATTTAATTAAATTTTCTGTAAAGATTATTTTAATGTATATATTATTATATTTTGGCTGCTATCAGGCACATGATGAGAAATGCACCATCATCATCTGAGCGCATGACGATTATTTGTTTACCATGTTTGTTTAGGGCTTGGCTTCTAGTTTTGAAGCATTGACATTAACGATAATCATGCAGCAATTTATAAAAAAAAACTAGCATTGATCTGGGAGGTTTCATACCAAGGTTATTGTGACATGTAAAATTCTTATTTGCCCTTGATGACACTCGTGGTCGCGAATGTTGTGTTTTTGTGTGTAGCAACACAATATTTTCATTATTTTCATGCTTTACCATTGAATGAAATTCAAATTGACTGATGCCTTAAATTATGAATTGTGAAAAATAGGAAATAACCTAGCTGGCATGGAATTAATTGACAATTTGATCAAATGTTGATTTTGAATAATGAATCATGGTTGTGCAAGGTTATTCAGTGTACAGTACATCTACTGGTTGCTGAACAGACTGCTCGCCATATTTTAGCGGTGTTTACAAAATTACTCTGTCATTCGTTAAATTAATGACACAGAATTAATTATGATACTTAATTAGCTATTCACCGATGTGTCCAACCCCTTCACTGCCGCCGATCATGTTTTTATATAAAGCGGCGGAAGGGAATCATGGCAGTATAAATAGATGTTTTCTTTATAACAGTTATCGCCATTCAGAATTTCTCATGCCATTCGTGAAATAATATATATTTATAGCATACAGTAACCTTTAATAATTGAATGTGGGACTATTTGAGTGTTTCTTTTACAGTAGATTGATAGGGTATGAAACAATTACTGATTTGTGAACTTGAAGTTGCCATTATATAGGTCGTGGGGACTAAGTATTGCTAAAACTAAAAGCGGCGCAAAACCGTACTCGCTCTCACACATGATGATGCAGATATTGATTCTACTGTCTGCGATGTCCTTGTACAAAGCTCATCCACGTCCATCCCTGTATAAATTGCCTCCATCATGTAGATCCCCCATGATTGATTAGGTCTTGAGAAATTATTATCATGTCTGTTTTGCCGACCCTTGCAGATCATGTCTTTCAGCATATCCAGCTGCTGTTTTACATTTTGATGTAAATATGATGAACATAATGGACTATGAAATGACAAAAAGTCCCTGGGCAAATACGCATTTATTTCAACAGGATCAGGTGGTCAGGCTCGCTGACTTCGTATCCCTGTTGCATAGATCGATGCTCATGCTGTTGATCACTTGTTTGTCTTGTTCAGACTCGATTATTTACATACCACTGCCATATAGCTGGAATATTGCTAAATGCAAGTCCCCCACATCTTGATATAACTGGAACATTGTTTAAAGTTGCGTTAAACCCATCTCACTTACTCCTGTGATATATATTCCTTCATGAACATGCCAAACGTACTGTAGACTAACGCTTAGTCCCTGAATTGAATATATATAATTTGATAGTAACAAATAACCCATTTGAATTGAAAAGGAGCCCCAATGAGATGGGAGATTTATGAACCTCGAGAAATCTTGACTTGGTTCATTTAGAGCTTTACCATTGCATGCACGGTTAGGCAGTAGGGAAACACTGTGGTTCAGGGACTGTGAGACAGACTCATCTTACAGAAACATATATGGTTACCAGTATATATGATTTTGCTGTTGTGGATTCAAGCTAAGGCAGTTACCCAACCACTGGTCTGTTGGAAAATATTGAGTGAGTATAGTTTAACGTCGCACTTAGCAATATTCCAGCTATATGGCAGCGGTCTGTAAATAATCGAGTCTGGACCAGACAATCCAGTGATCAACAGCACAATCATCGATCTGCGCAATTGGGAACCGATGACATGTGTCAACCAAGTCAGCGAGCCAGACCACCCGATCCCGTTTGTCGCCTCTTACGGCAAGCATGGGTTACTGAAGGTTCATCCTAACCCAGACCTTCACGGGTTGGAAAATATTGGGAGTCTAGGGGTGTTTCCCTGAAGTCCAGTTATAGTTCAATATATACATATACAAGTCTGGAATGAGGTGCAGAAATCATCCTTTTGTCATGCCGAAGACCCAGGTTCGATTCCCCACATGAGTACAATGTATGAAGCCTATTTCTGGTGTCCCCTTCCGTGATATTCCTGGAATATTGCTAAAAGTGGTATAAGCCTTTACTCACTCACCCACTTACTTACAAGTCCGGAATGAGGTTCAGATTAGTTAGGTATGACCTACTGTGTCTACAGCTGGTATGTGAACATTCAGAAGCTTAAGCCATCTCAGTTTGTGAAACTATGGTGGTGAGAACATCAGACGAGATGAACTTGTGATGTAAACGTAATAGAAAGGTAAAACAAATTTTTAAATTCTCATTTTGTGAGTTCATTATGTAAATCATTGGCTCATGAACATGATGAAAATAATGTTCTGATTACACTTAATTGAAAAATGGTAGATATGTTTTTCAATAACCATGATTAAGTTTATTTCTGAAGCAAACAAAAAAATAATGTTGGTATACATTTGTTAACAGTGATTAAGACATTACCACTGACAGGCGTGGATTCCTTTGTTGTGTAATAATGCACTCAGCAGTATTCTAGAAAAACTAACTTGAGCATTGATCAGTGATTTCATCAACCAATCTGATCTATGAAGATCAGGGTTAGAAGTACAGTCATCCCATCGCAATAACGCTCTTCGCGATACCGCGGATTCGGTTAAACCGCGGGTTAATCCGTTGCTCCCATAAAAAAAGTTGCCCAGCGATCACACATCTTCATGTCATCGAAAATAGCACATAATCAATTCCGCTGTTGAGCTCTGGTTAATCACGTTGTAAACTAGTGAAATTCAGTGCGGATTGCAATTAACAGTGTTTATCGTACTTATCCATGTTTTTTCAGATGCTTTAAACATGCAGGGTTTTCTCAATAATAATCAGACGAACTGTGAAACATCGTAATAACTTATAAAGACAACTTCATCATAAAGACATGCCATCAGCTGAGTACTTACAATGTTTGCTGTGATGCAACACACCACGTTATTACGCGGGTAAACACCGCCATCCGAGAACGTATGATGTCAGAAAACACATTTTATTTGATTAAATTCACTCCCATTTTCATTCATTAAAACTGTTAAAATAACAACGGAGAAACCATGAGTGAAATGGCATTACCCCATTCCATACAACGTCTGCTTACCAAATTCGTGAGGGTCCGTTTTTCACGCCTACCGCGATAGCACCAATTTCACATTATTCTCAGCAATCACGAACAGATTACAGCCTCGTCATCCATGGATCCCAAGATCCGCGTTATTGACTCATTGAAGTCATATTTGACAATTAATTGCCAACATTTTGTTTTTACAATCAAAGTGGCACGTACCGTGTGAAGTCAGCGGTGACTTGTCAAACTGTCTCCTACGTAAAATAACTGCTTAAGATATAAATTATTCTGATAATGGAATAGACATCCTTTGATTTATGTTATCGAATCTTTTTTAACTGAATCACATCAGTGATGGACCAAAACATCTGTGCACTTCTGATTGCTATTTCCAGCGTAAGTTGAATAACAGGTAGCATAAAAGGAACAACAATTGAATAAATTATCATGTCTAGTGATGTTTGATTGTAGGTTTCCAGTACATACATCTATTTTCATTTACAAAGTTTGTTTTTTCACCTACGATATGATATAGTTTTGACTGGGCACAATACATGAAATATCAGTTTTGTTACGTCCATGGAAAATATGATTTTACTTGGCCTTTGTCCCGCTTTGTGTAATAGTTACTTACTTACTATAACGCAGGTGTCTAATAATGTGGGGGGTTCATCCATGGACCCCAAGACCCGCGTTATGGCGAGGGATGACTGTATCTTCAACAAACCATGCTTGTCGTAAGAAGCGATTAGGACAGGGTTTGGCTTGGTTGATGGATGGTAACATATACCAAATGCAAGGATTGATGCTCATGATGTCAGTCACTGGATTGTCTGGTCCAGTATTAACAGACTGTCATATAGGGTGCATATTGCTGAGTGAAGCATTAAACAACCAGCAAACAGTAACCCAAACCACCCTATCAAGACTTGAAGTTAGTCACCTCTTAGTCTTACAAAAGGCAGTGGTTGTTGAAGATCAGTTGAACCTGGATCTTCACAGGATGATGAACACGGAGGCTCTTCATCCAGCTTTCAGTGTTGTCTCAGTCAATCTCCGAACCGCATGACATGTCATTTATTCACTATGTTTGCAGTAAAAACATACCCAAATATGGATGCTTGTTTCACATCAGTAAAGCTTCATGAAACTCTTTGCCATGGTACATTGACAAGGCTAAGCTTTGATCGAAGCAACATCAACATTATCCATGTTGATTATAAAATAACACAGTTGTTGTTTTTAAAGTCCTGTGTATTTAAGTATTGCATCAGGTTTCATCAGGCAGATGGTTGAAGCTGCTTGTATGATATTAGGGCAGTGGGGTAGCCAAATGGTTAAAGTGTACGCTTGTCACGGAGAAGACCCAGGTTTTCCCCACATGGGTACTAATACTACAATGTGTGAGGCCCATTTCTGGTGATGTTGCTGGAATGTAGCTGATAGT